AGGAATTCAGCACAGAGGAGTCTGTGCCTGTTTATTATATTCACCACCTCTAAAATGATGCCAGGCCAGGAGATGCACCTTTTGGCCCCAGGGAGCTGAGCATCCCCTTTAGCCATCTGGTCAATGGGACAACACAGCTGAGGCCACAAACAGCATCTGGGGCTGGGCCGGGCTGCACAGACTGCCCCTGCTCCGAGCGGGGTATGAATGAGGAAAACAAAACGAGTGATATTAATTCCCTGGCCATTCTAAAGAAGTGTCCCCATCGAGGAGTCCTCAGATTTCACCCTTTCTACATCTTTTATTTATTTCAAGTCAGGCCTCATCTCTGCGTCCTAGGCTGGTGGTTCATGTCCTCATCCAAATCTGTGCCTGCTGGGGCAGTCTCCTACTGGCCACCTGCCTCGACTCTTGTTCCTCCTCCCCGTCATTCCCTGGCCCCTCCGTACCGTGGATGACACCCCAGGGCCAGGATCGCTGTGTTTCACGTCTCCTGGTGACTTCCCTGAGCACGGCTCGCAGGCTGCCCCATGCGATTTAACCCTGGGCATCTGCTCCAGTCCTTCCCTCCCTCTCACCTCTGTCTCCCTTGCAGGGGGCTCCTTGCGCCTGTGTGGGCCGCAGCCTCTCGGGGCTCCGCTGCTTTGCCTGGAATATGTTTGTGCCCACACTCAAGAGTGAGCACCTAAGTGAGCACCGTGGTGGGGCTGGGGTGCAGCACCGAGTAGACAGAAGTGGCTTTACCCTTTCAGGATGCACAGACCGGTGAGGGGGACAGATATCAAACCAGCCTCATAGCAGTAATTGCATCGTTAAACACGGTGACACGAGTGTGAAAGGGACAGGAGAGAAGCAGACCGGGATTCAAGAGTGTGACATCTGAGCTGAAACCAACATGGGCGGCAGCTTCAGGTCAGCGTGCGAGCTTGAAGGAAGCTCTCCAGGACCCCCGAGCTGTGAGACAGGAGGAGGCTGAGGGGGACCACGCAGTGGCCGCTGCACTGCGCACTTAGCGGGGTTTACTCGGCACCAGGCTCTAGCCTGAGGGCACCGAATCCTTGTAAAATTCTCCAAAGTAGGTGCCTCTGTGGCGCAGAGAAGCTGGCAGGGTGGTGGGCTTTGAACACAGGGCGTCTGGATCCCAAGCTCATGCCTTAATCGCTGTGTGATCTTGCTTGGCCTGGTCAAGGCCTTGAAAGAGGCCTTTGTGCCTGCAGCTTAGACCGGAGAGGTGAGGCTGGAAGGCAGAGAAGAGCCTTGTCAACTGCTTCGGGTGTGACAGGGTCCAATTTGCATATTAAAGTGATCAGTCTACTTTCTTGGGAGAGCAGTGGGTGTGGGGGGAAGCTCCAGTTGGGAGCAAGGAGAAATTGTATGCTGTCACTTCCTAGGTTAGGTTAAAAAAAAAAAAGGGATGAATGGATTTCCCTCCTTCCTTCCCCTGGTTCCCTCCCACCTGTCCCTCAAGCCCCAGTGCAGGGGTCACTGTCTGTCGGGGCCCCTCCTTTCTCACACCCTCAGAGCTCCTCAAGACCAGGGAGTGTCTGTCATCTGGGCGGGTCCAGCATCTCTGTTCCCCCATGTACAGTGGACATGCCACAGGTTTTAAAAAGACGGAAATAAATCTACAGAGCTGTGAAGTCAGGTATTTTACTGAGTAATTTCATTTTTCAACTTATTCTTAAAAACTCGGACATTACTTCCGAACTGTAGCTACCTGTGGCTGTGACAAAGATTTCCTCCTTGACCAAACTGTGGTCCCGGGGTGTCCAACCTGCGGCCCAACACAAAACTGTAAATTTACTTAAAACATGATGAGATTTTTTGTGTGTGTGATTTTGTGTTGCAGTGTATTTAACGTGTGGTCCAGACACACCAAAAGGTTGGACACCCCTGCTAGTCATTCTCCTCCGAACTCACCCCCCATCTGGCCCCTGATGCGCGGGCTTTGGTGTCTGTCTACGCGTTGTCCAGTTTCAGCCAGAACCCCCCATCCTCCACATCCAGCCCCCCTGCACCCGACGGGGTTCCCCGTCCCCTGGCCTGCCTGCGGCAGGGACCCTCCTCGCCCCTGGAGCTTCCTCGGTGACCCTCCGCCCACTGCCCTGCACTCTGCTCCTTGTTTTCCCTTGTTCTCCTGGGAGTTGAGTCCGGTGTGTCTCCCCTGTGTCTAGTGGTCCCTGTACCTACTGCACTGGGCCCCGGGAATAAAGTCTGCCTTTCTGCTTTAACAAGTGTCATAAATAATTCTTTCTTTAACCTTGACCCTAAATAAAATAAATTCCTTGTGGGGGACCAGTGGTGTGTTATTAAAGCTAAAATTTCCACTTCCTCAATAACACCGGGAACCGGGAGCCCTCCTCCGGGTTCACATTCTTGAGGAGTCAAAAGGTCCCTTGAAGGCAGGCCAGTCCGCGCACTGCCTGCCGGGGCTGCTGCGTTCCTGCTCTGAGCCCCAGCACCCGGGACGTCACAGTCCTTGGAAGCCGGCAGTGTTTGGCAGTGGCGGGGAGGCGGCTGGGACAGGGACAGGCTGACCCTCCCGGCTCTCCTCCCGCAACTCAGTGCCTACTCAGCGTCCACGTGGCCCAACACGAGACCACGGAGCAGTGTTTGGGCTCGGACCTCCAGGGTTCCGTTCGTCCCAGCCTCTCAGATCTAAGGACAAACACCAAGCTCCTTAGCTGCCACACAGCCAAGTGTAGGAGAGGTCACCCGTTTTTTTGTACAAACTTTGACAGGCCCTGCCAGTGAGGCTCAGTTGATTGGAGCATTGTCCCATTCAGTTCGCAGTCATAGGACATTCCTAAGTTGCAGGTTCAGTCCCCGGTTGGGGCATGTGCAGGAGGCAACCAATGGATGTTTCTCTCACATCAATGTCTGTGTCTGTCTGTCTGTCTCTCCCTCCCCCTACCCCTCCCTCTCTTTCTCCCTCTTTCCCTCTCTTCCTTCCTCTCCCTCCCTTTCTGAAATATATATGCATAAACTTTTACAGACATTCAAATATATGTATTTCATAAAAATTGCAATATCATTAGCCTGCATTAGCCTGCGTTCATCAAATGAATATACCCTTGTAATCTGCACCCAAATCCCAAACCAGGACATTGCAGCGCCGAGTCTCCCTCTTGCTCCTTCTGTTCCCTGCCCGCCCCGGGTGGGCCACAGCTATCCAGCTTCTGACAGCCTGCACTGGCTTTCTTGTGCGTGAACTTCATGCCAGTGGAATCATGGAGTGTGTCGGAGATGGTGCATCTAAGACAAAGTGTGTATTTTCCCCACATGCCATCCTCAATCACTCTCTTCTGTGTCCTAGAAATCAGATGAGCGGGAAGTCAGTCTTGGTGCAGGAAGGCTGTCCCTCACAGGGAGACACCCTGCCAGGTTGTAGACGTTAGGAATTACAGTGATTGTGTTATTGTTATATTACGGTCTTGCTCATTTTTTAACCATCAGAAAAAGAGTGATTCTTCCAGATACAGTCTCTAGGTCAGCGGCCAGCAATTTTTTCCTGCAAGGGGCCAGGAGGTAAGTATTTCTGGCTTTGCACACCGTGTGGGCTCTGTTGCAGCCACTCGCCTCTGCCGACAGGTTGCAGAACCAGCCACCGACCGCACGCGCACAGGTGGGCGTGGCCGTGCGCCGCACACGGGATTTACGGGCACCGACGTGTGAGGCTCACGTGACGTGTGCTTGTCATAAATATTATTCTGCCATTTTTTTTTCAGTTCAACCATACTTGAAAGGAAATCTCCTTAAAATTTTTAAACCCTGATTTATATTCTCGGAGTGAGCCTACACGTTTTCTTAGAAAACCTGGGAGCACGTTACAGGAGTCCGGGCCTGTCCTCTTCTGTGTCTCTTTGGACGAGTCACTGGATCCCCTGGCTCCGTTGTGCCTTCTGTGAAGTGGGGCTGCGGGCAGGGTGTGCAGCGAGCTGGTCGCACCAGGACGGCCGGGCCAGCGCCGGGACAGGCTCCCGTGCGCTCGGCAGTGCGGGCCCAGTGCCCGGCCGCACCCCTTGTCACGTATTCTGGCTGTCAGCCGCGGTGACGCAGTCCCCTCACCACAGGTCTTCTAGGCACCGCCCCAACCAGCGCCTAGAGTGTAGCCATTGTGCTTTCTCCTCCACCCACAGAAGTGGCTCCAGGCACCCGACTAGGAGGGGCACTCGGCTTCTGTGTCAAACTCCTCCACCCTGGAGGGCCTTCGTGTGAGTGCCCCTTTACACTTTCCGTTCCCCTTGTGGCCGTGGCGTTTGAGCTGTAACTGCTCCTCGCCTGCCTCCCAGTCTACCTCCTCCATCAACTCTACCTTGCTGATTCTCATTGGCAGCCTAAATAAAGCTAAGGCGAGAGGTTAAAAACCTTGCGTTAAACCCTCAGCTGGGCTCTTCGGAATGTAAACTTTATATAACATAGAGGTCAAGGGCACAGACTTGGGAGCTGGTCCGGTGGAATCCCAGCTTACCACTGAGGACATATGTGTCACTCCCCCTTTCTGTCCCTCAGTTTCCCTGTCTAGAATGGCAGGGAGAGAGGCCCTGCCAGGTAGCGTTGCTGGCAGGGCTGAGTGAATGGAAGCATGTGAGAACGTTTGGAACAGTCCGGGCGCCGAGTAAGCCCAGTGTGTTCGCCCCCGTTCTTGCTGTCACTTAGCACATGATTGCGTCGCTCTCATGCCTTGGGAACCACCATTGAGGTTCCCAGATATATGACCACTAAATAAGTTAAGGGTTTGTTTGTTTGTTTGTTTTTTAAGGAAAAATAAATCTCATGAGTATTGCTTTATGATTTGTCAATTTTCTATCATAGCTCGTTTTTTAATAATGTGAGACATCCTGAAATGGTCTGTTCCTGTTTGGGGGACTCATGCTAAAATGCAGGGTTAAGAATGGGTGATAGACTCTTTGGTACTGTGTAAAAGGACTTTGTTCCTGTGGGATTTAAAGTGACATCCTGAAGGAAGTCTCAGTTAATGGTTTCCTTTGGGGAAACCATCAGTGGTGATCTCTCAGATCTTTGACAAAAGTCCGACAACTTCTGGGTTCAGGAATATGCTGAGTGAGCATCTTCCCGGCCTCCCAGAGTTGCTGCTGTCCCCGGTTAGGAGCAGAGGAAAGTCATTTTACTTGAGAGGTAATTTTTGAAAATGAGAAATAATTTTGTTAATGGGGTAGAATGATGGGCTGTGTGTACTCTTCCTTTTCTTGAGGTGGATTCGCCTTTTTGAAAAGCCCGAGGCTGTTACAGTCTCTCTCCAAAGTCAATTATCTTCATCGCAACTCTGAGGGTGCAGAGGTGTGAATCGTGAAATTAAGACGCACGGCCTAAAGCCTCAAGTAGGTAGGAGCCTTCTGAGAAGCTGAGCAGATGGATTCTGAGAGTGTGGATGGTTCGGGCTGTTAATTTCTCTGGTTGATTTCGGTTTCGGTTCCGAGCAGAAGCCTGTTGGGTCGGCAGAAGGGAGAGACACACCACATTTGCACGTAAACTCCCCATCCCTCCTCCCTCCCCCCCTGCATTCTCCCTGACCCCCCATCACTCTGGCTTGGTTTCAGGCAAATCCGTGAGGACAGGGTTAGGGATCAGTTTCCTGTGGCTGCCTTAACAAATCACTTCACACTGGGCACCCTAAAAAACAGCAGAAATATCTCCTCTCACCGTTCTGGAGGCCAGAAGTGGAAAATCAAGGCGTCAGCAAGCGCACACTCCCACCAGGGCCTCTTGGGGAAGGTGCTTGCCTGCCTCGCCCAGTTTCTGGTGGTTCTTGGCTGGTGACGGCATTACTCCTCTGTCCCCGCGCGGGCTTCTCCCCAGTGTCCTGGTCACACCTCCCTCTTCGTTCTAAGAACACCAGTCTCTGGATTTAGGGACTTCGAGATTCTTAATTAGACCTGCAAAGACCTTATTTCTGAAGAAGGCTACATTCTAAACTAATAGAGTTAGGACTTAGATGTATTTTGGGGGGCAGGGGGCACTGCTGAACCCACCACAGTTGGCCTCACAGAGACTCTAGCTGACCGTCGGGGAGGGCTTTTCATCCGGGGACCCATGTCCCCATCCCTAGAACGCTGGCAGTCTGGGTGGGGGTGGACTGTGGGGTGAGGAGCCAGCTGCTTCCACTGGAAAAGCCAGCTTCCCCCTTTCTACCCTGTGGCCACGAGGGTGTTACTAAGGGTCTCCCAGCCTTGACTCCTGTCCTTTGTAAAGTGGAGGTGATCATATTTTCCTCTCGGGTCCTGAGCGTCACATGGGGGACGGTGGGCGTGGCTGGCATGGTGCACAACTTGTAGCAGGGAGTGAGTGTTGTAGAATCCGATGTCAGGCCCTCCGTGACCCCACAGTAAGTCCCCCATCCTCAGGTGGGTTGTGTCTGACAACTCACAGATCCGTCGGGCAACTCTGGACAAATGGGGGCAACGGCCTTTCTAGAGGACCCAGGTTATCGACAGCACGCAGTGAATTCAGTGGTGAGTTTTGGCAGTACCTGGCCACATTTTAGTGGTTGTCGTGGCGGGGGTTGCTGTGGCGCTGTGCCCCTGTGGGTGTGAGCCAGCGGAGATCAGGCCTCCACAAGGCCACTGGAGATCACAGGTGGGACAGCCCCGAACCCACCCCATGGCACGCAGGGACAGCGGCTCCCCACCTGGCCTTCACCTGGCGTGTGGCTTCCTTCACCCCAGGACTCAGCACCTAGCTGCCTCTCAAAAAAAAAATCTAGACTAAAAAAGGTTATTCCAGGTGTTCAGGTAAAGAGCAGAATTAGCGTCATGCCCCCCATTCATACCTTGGGTGGGTGTGATGAGAGTCAGGTCTGGCGAGGTCTCCGCAGAAGACAAAGAGCACATAGAACCATCTGTCCTTCTAGGAGAAAAAAAGGTACCTCCACCCTCTGGACCATAGACCAGTAACCAGCACCTTCCGGAGAGAGTCTAGAAGAAGCCTTTGCTGCCGAGGTTGGACCTTTACGGGGACGTTGCTGCGTCAGCTCCAGGGGACTTCACTCAGTCCCTTCAGCAGCCCACCTGCTCCCCAGGTGGTGGTGCAGTGTTTCGCTGCTGTGACAGGTGCCCAGGTGGAGCCTGGGATCGTCCTCTGTGATGGTCACATGAGCCGGTTAAGGTCGGCCGAGTATCCACAGTGCGCCAGGCTCAGGACACAGAAAGGGGACGCTGTCCCCGCCCGCATCTGTGGGCCCGAGAGCCGCGGGAACCCGGGACTGGCGCACAGTCACTGGAGAGGGTGTGGAGACGTGGGCAGAAGTGACGGGAAAGGCCTTTTTTCTTTTTCCAACTCGATCGCCACGCTGCTCATGTGTTTCTGCTACGAGTGGTCTCTGTGAGTCCGGTCAGCAGATAGTGTCCACTCAGAAACCTAGTGAGTCTCGTCTCTGTGGCATAGAAAACAAGCAGAGATCAGGACCAGAGTCACAGGCCCTGAGCAGGACAGTCGACTGACTTCCCAGCATCGTCACGGAGGCCTCCTCCCTTCCCTCATTCCCACCATCCTGCAGAAATGTCCTCCCACAGATATTTTGTGTCAAAGTTCATTTCCTTGCCCCTCACCCCCCTTCCCTGCCCCTTCCTCCCAGGGCAACTGCTGTCCTGAAGCTGATGAGCATCACTGTCATGCACTTTCCAACATGCGGTTACATATCTGAAGAGATCTCTGTCTAGCATCATTCTGTGCGTTTTCAAGGTTACGTGCATCATCCTGCACTCTGCAAATTCTCTTACAGCTTTCCCTCTCCACACTATAGATCTGAGATGTGTCCACGCTGGTGCACATTGGATCTAGTTCATTCATGTCACTGGTCCTGTAGTGATAGCGACTTGTCCGTCCCCCTACTGGTGGATGGCCAGGTTGCTTCTGGGATCATGCTCTCTGTCAAACAGAGCTGCAGTGCACGCGTGTGTGAGGATGTCCCCCAGGCTAGGGCACGTTCGGAAGGGGGACTGCTGGTCCTAAGGTGGGCCTGTCTTTAACTTGACTGGGTCTGGCAGCTCGCTCTCCAAAGTGCCTGACCATTCAGATCCCGCCAGCAGGGTTGGAGGGTTCTGGTTCCTCAAGTCCCTGCCGGTGAGCGCTGAGGTCGGATTTACCAAAAGGCTCCAACGGACAGGTGTGACACGGCAGCCATTGGCCTCTCTGGGTTGCTGGGAAAGTTAAGCACCTTTTCGTATGTTCCGTAGCCGCCAGGGCTGCTGTTTCTAAGAACTGTTTTCTATCCTTGGCGTGTTTTTGCCTCCACCTCTTTTGGGAATGCAGGGGAGGGGTGCTTGTTTCTCAGTGGCTGGTAAAAATTCTTTACACACTCTGGCTACTAATTTTTTTGTTGATTTGAGTTGCAAGTATCTTCTCCTGGTCTGTAACACTGTCACTGAAGTGTTTTAATGAAAGAAAGATGAGATGTGGGGAAGCGCAGTTCAGCCATCAAGAGAAAAACATCTGTAAAAGGGTCTGTCGATTCTGCGTCTAAGACCGGTCCCTGGTTGCTAAGCTCCCGTCGTTGCAGTTCCCGTCCACTGAGATGTTATCAGGACGGGGCTTTCGGGGTTTGAGGTGGGTGGTTTTTTTTTTTTTGAGTCTTTGTTTTGTCTTTTAAAGCATTGCCTTTAGGAACATGTCTTTGTTCTTGTTGGTTCTTCGTGGTCCCTTGCTTGGGACTTTGAGACTGAGGGGCTGATGCTGTCACCCGAGCCACAGGTGAACACAAGCCTGACAACTCACAGTTCACAGTGTCACAAGTGCCTGAGATCTCTATACATTCCCCACGTCTGCCAGTGCCCACCAGCGCAGGGTGGGTCCGCTGTTATCCTCCCCAAGTGGACACCTGTTTCTCTCACTACAGAGCCATCCACTCCCATCATAAATCCCACTGAAGAGCGTAATCCCACCCCCCAAAAGGCAGCCACTTCTTATCCTCTGATTCGGATCCCACTCTTGTTTTTTGGATCTAGCTGTGGCTGGGTGAGTGTGGTATCACAACAGGGATCAAAAAGAACACGTGGTTTTAGGTCGTACATTTAGGTCAGGAATCTCCTTCCAGGTTAATAGATATACTTCCACAGTGTCAGTTGGAATGGCTGCATCCTTTGTATCATCTTGAAGATTTTTTTTTCTATAAGAAGCAGCCTTGGCATGAGCATGGATGTTTGTGAATCTCTTTAAGCACTTCCTGATGGAAAAAGAAATCCAAGACCTGGAATTACGGCATCAAAGCCATGCTCACTTCCAGCACTGTGGTGGGCAGCCCGAGTTGCTGAGTCCACGTGGGGGTGGAACTGTTCGCTGATTCCGGGGATGCTTGTCGAGTGCCTGCCGCATGCCAGGCACCCCCTGTGAACTGGGAACGTGGAGGAAATGGACACGGTCTCAGTCCCTGTCCTCGGAGTTCATCATCTGGGGAACTGTCGCAGGCCTCGGACCAGCGAGGACATGGGGAGCTGTCACTAGGAGGAAGGCAGTTGATCTTCAGTTAAGAGAGGGGACAGCAGCAGTCAGAAATTCTGTCGGGACGACACACGTGGCCCCCAGCATCGCACATTTGCTTTCTATCTAAAGGATGTAAAATGCTTACCTTGACTGACAGTCCAGCCCCACCTCTGCTTGAGATGAGTCACAGAACCTCTTGTCCTTCAGTGTCCACCCCTGCCCACCAGGAATAATAATGACAGCGGCCTCACAGATGTGAGATTCGTCACAGAAAGGATGGAAAAGCCGTTTGCTGGCTGTCAGATTCTATATAAATGTAATAAACAGCATTGCTAATGTTGTCCTCGGGTGTATACAAGGGCATCAGGTAAGGAGTGGGTCCAGAGGGTGTTGTTGTTGAAATAAGACCCCCCCCACTAAATGGGAGCGGGACAGCTTCATGCACTGGCTGCAGAGCTTAGGGCTTGGAGTCATGCTCAGCAGAGCACAGCGGGGAAAATGCAGCTCTGCTCTAACACAGCCCTGGTTCAAATCCCAGCCCCGCCACTTACCAGCTCTGTGTCGTTGGACAAGTGACTTAACTTCTCTGTGTTGGAATTTCTGCATCTATAAAATCGGGATGACGATACAATCCTTATGAGAATCAAAGGGAATAAGGCATGTACAGTGCTTTCTCCCGGACCTGGTGAGACAGTTTTTATTCATCATTCTGGAACTTCCTGAACACTTTTTTCCTAGTGAAAGTGCCCCCCTTGGGGGGGCAGTTACAGGCCATGAGGATTTGCTTTTTCTGAGTAAGGTTTGAAGGAAGAGCTGGCCTGCAGCTACAGAACAATGAGTAGAAGCTCTGTGGACAGCCGGGAAGCCCGTGTCCAGGGCTCTCCTCCAAGGTGGCCCGGTGCTGGGCCATGGCTGGTTCCCCAGGAGACGGGGTCCTTTTGTATAAGCCTGAGCACTGGCAGAGAGCGGTCACCCCTGACAAATGTGTTTTTTCAATGGTTACTAAAACACCCATCACCTTTGCTCTGAGTTTACCTTTGTGTACCCAGCGATCAGAGCATATTAGGACTTGAGGACAGCTGGTCTAGATTTAGGGAGTTTCGGGGCCTTAGCGAGTAATTTTTTTAATGTGTGGGACGAGCATGAACATGGTCACCTTTTCATTTTTCTATGTAAGGACCTTATTAAAAGTTACAGTTCAGCCACCATTTTATCAAAGAAAGCCCTTTCCTTCCTTCAAATGGATAAAATGGGAGAGAGAGAAAGGACTTGAGCTCAGTATATTTCCAAAGATTATATCCATGAATTTCATGGAAAAACTTGTTCCTTTGCTATTTTTCTGCCTCCTGTGCATCCAAGGAATCCTAGCTCTCATCCACACACAGAACAGGGGGTGAAATGAGTTGCTCGGAATTGCGCAGTAAATCCCACTCAGGCGAGACTGGGGCGGGGCCTCCAGAAGCACCCTTGCAGCCTTTCAGTCTCTTAAACTGACTCCAGTTGTTATGTTGTGTAGAGGTGAACTGCGATGCAGTTGAATTGTGTGATTGGTTCTCTACATTGTTTGTAACCAAAGAACATTTAGTCATCAAATAAAGATGCATTTATTAGTGCTTAAATGTCTGATCCGGAAGATTAGTCAGGGTGAAGGCTAAGCCACTGCAATAGAGATTCCAGATCACAGTGGCCAAGGTCCAGAGTTTATCTTTCCTCTTACACAGCAGCCCCGAAGCTGGTGGGGGCAGCTTTGTACCATGTGGTCCTGCAGGGAGTTGAGTTCCTCCCATCTTGATGTTCTGTCCATTCCCTGGGATGCTTTCCTTATTCGCGTAGTTGAATCCAGTTTGCATGGACGTGAGGAGGGAGGATGGGGCACTGAAGCTCGGCATCTTGAGGCCAAGACCCAGCAGAGTCGCGCAGCACTCGTCTGCACAACCCACTGGCCTGAGCCCAGGCGCATAGCTGCGTCCAACCGCAGGGGAGGCAGGCACGTACCGGCCGCAGCCAAGCAGCAGCCAGCCGCCCAGCCGAAATCTGGGGGCGGAGTGGGGAGAGGTCTCAGTCACTCAGAGGACACAGCGATCTGGGCCGCAGACTTGAAGGCGTTTTCTATCCATATCATTTTCTCTCTAACAAAATTGGAAAAGGAAATTCCTGCTTCTTACCTGTCCCCATGTCCAGTCCGCCTTACCATCCCTCCCCATGTTTAGAAGGCAGATACCCCGGAAGGCGTGGTTGGCATGAGAGCAACTCTGTCCCGCCTCAGTGATGATCCCCAGAGACCCGGTGCGAGGGAAGACGCTAAGTCTCTGTCCTGGGCTCCAAACACAACTCTCTCGTTCAGAGTGTTCCCCGGGAGACCCAGGGGCACAATCTGAAGGAGACCTTGGGTGCCCACATCCCAACCCCGATGATGTCACAAATGTTAGTTGGCAGTGACGACTGGTCCCAGCATGTGTTGGCCGTGCGGAATGGTCTGACAGCCACGGGTCTGAGACCTGTGTTTACCAACTCCCGCTCCTGCCTGCTGCTGCTCCGCAGAACCAACACAGCTGTAGACGGCTCTCCCAGATGGCTTCCTTAGTTGTAGTTCAGCAAGAAATTTCTGGAATCTCTTTATTTTTTCAGGGCCATGGTCCGAGTGACTTTAACGAAGGGCAAACTCAGGCAGCCTGGGAAAGATATGTTTCTTAGCATGTTATTGGCCAGCAAATGCAGGGAAATTATGGGAAGATTATGTTTGTTGACAAAAGTATGTGGGCTTCTCCCCCCTTTGGCACATTTTCAGGTGCATTCCCTAGATCCGAGAGACCAGTCTCCCAGTTCCAAGGGAAAATAATTAAATCATAAATGAAAAGGGGAGCTGGCTGCTGTCCTCTGAAGACGGCCCCTGCCATCACACGATCTGCATGGTTCGGGTGGGGCCATGGAACTGCAGGTGACTCGCTGATCCCCATTCCTGGTTTAAGGACCAAGAGAGAAACCTTCTTAAACACTCTTCCTAAGGGAATTAACATCTATCTGTATTAGTTTTCTGGGACTGCCCTGATAAAC